ATAATAATACATACTCTCTCTCGTTCGCCGTGGACTAGCACAATCAAATCGATTGTGTGAACCACGTTAATTCTTGTGTTCTTGCTCTTAATTTATCGTTTATCTTTGCCTAATCGTAACATAGAGTAGTATTTATTTTCTTCCTCTATATTAATGTTGGGGAGTGTTACTAAAATGACAATTAGTTAACATCTTGACATTAATTATAGTAGGATTTATATCTTCTTTAATATTCTTCCTTGAATATTAATTATTTCCTATTCATATTTCATTTTAATATTTTGAGCATTACTTAAAGGATCAACTAGTTTTGTCTCATATATTAATTATTACTAGAATCGATCGACGAATACGCTCTTTAATCGTTCGATCTTTTCATGGTAGTAAACTTGGATTATTAATGCATGCATCTCATGGTTAATAATCTAAGGGGAATTAATTATATTGATTAAACCAATAAACCGCTTGTGTTGAGGTTGTCAATTTCAATCGTTTTCATCTTGAATTTATTGCTACTATCGAGTAAATATACGGCACGTGTTCTATTTTAATTCGGTAGTAAGTTTTATTAATGAACGTGTCTCGTTATTAATAACTACCCTCGATGAATTGGATATACTCCTCGATTGAGTATTCAAGAGGAAGATAGTTAAAGATATAACCGGGATCGACGAACATTTCATTAAGTGGATAAAAGCAAAACCAAGTCTTAATCTCAATTAATTAAACTCATATAAGTCGTTCATCTTCGTATTTAATTAAATTAAATCACTCAAACCTAAACGCCCCCTTTTGTTACTAGTTAATTAAAAAGAGAAATATTCCTTTCCCTGTGGATATGAACCTTACTTCGTTATACTACGTATAATTGTTGTATTGATATTTATTTTGACGGCAAACCACGACAAAGTGCACGTTACGCCTCATATTATTGATTGAGAGGGATACCCGGTCTCAAAGGAAGCAATCCGTTCCTTGGGCGTCTGCCGCTCAATAGCCTGATGTGAGACATGTGAGAGTGATGATTCTAGAGTTCTTGATGACTTGATGTGGATTCCTAGTGGTGATGTTCCAATAGCTGATTCTATGGGAATTTCCCAGTGTGTATTGGATATTGTTATTGTGAATCAACTTTTGCCTGCGGTGAGGTTGCCGGATTCCCATGAGCGCATTTAGAGAGATGGAAGAGCTTCCCTCTCTTCATAATGTTTTTCCTTGTGTCTACCAAATGTCATTCTTTTTTAAGCTACTAGCCTACCATCGGAGTGTTGTTCTTCCTTTTGCTTGATATAGCTAACTATCCTAAACAAGCTACTAGTTTGAGCAAGGAGAATCATTATTAAATATAGCATTATAAAAAAGTTATAGCTAACCATTGGAGTATACTTCAATTTTGCTATAAATGTTTATGTGGCTAGTCAAGCTATGAACGCAATTATACTCCTTCTGTCTCTAAATTAAAGTCTCGCCTTCCTTTTTGGGATGTCCCTAAATTAAAGTCTCACTTCCTTGTTTGGTAACAAATCTATATCAAAGAATGTCAAACAGTGTCAAACAGTTTCAAAATAGTGTCAAAATAATGTACTCTACAGTAAAATTTTGTCCTTGGTAAACTTGTTTCCTTAACATGTGAAATCAAACTAGGACTTTAATTAAGAGACGAAGGCAGTATATACATAGATTTCAATGTGTATGATGGTTTCCTTAAAATTTTTCCCTCGGTATGATGGTTTCTTTTATCAATGTGCTTATACTATTATTGAGGATGATATGTATAATGCTGTGAGAGAATTTTTCTGTGGTGTCCCCATCCCTAAATCTATTGCTCACACCCTTATTGCTCTAATACCTTGAGAATAATGCTTATCAGTTTTCCAAATTCAGGCCTATCAGCCTTAGCAACTTCATTAACAAAGTTTTCACTAAAATTTTAACCATGAGAGTCACCCCTTTGCTCCCTAAAATAATCTCTAATGAGCAATCTGCTTTCCAAAAAGGCAAGGAAATATCTGATGACATTCTTGTGCTCAGAGAGCTTGTTAATCATATTAATAAGAAAATTAGGGGGCATAATATTATTTTTAAATTTGACATGATGAAAGCTTTTGATAGGATTTCCTGGACTTTTATTAAGTATGTTCTTATTAAGTTTGGTTTCCACCCTATGTTTGTGAAGCTTATCTGCAATAATCTTACTGCCACGTGGTGTTCGGTCCTTATTAATGGGGCCCCTAAAGGTTTCTTTAAACCAAGTAGGGGTGTCAAACAAAGAGACCCTCTATCTCCTATCCTCTTTATCATTACTGCTGAAATTCTTTCCAAAAAGCTGAATGCTATGTTCTCAACTGGTAGGGCTAAACTTTATAGCACTCTTCATGGTATGCCCCCCATAAATCATTTATCTTTTGCTGATGACTTAATTGTCTTTTCTAGTGCTGAAAAAAGGACTCTTCAAATGCTTCACAAAACCATCACTAATTATGAAATGTTTTCGGGTCAGCTCATTAGCAAAGAAAAAAGTTTCTATATCATTTCTAAGCACTCTAAGAACCACACTCATAATGTTGTTGAAAATATTTTTCATATTAAGAAGGGCTCTTTCCCTTTCACCTATTTGGGGGCTACCATTTTCTCTGGCAGACCTATGAACTGCTACTACGACCATATTCTCACCAAAATGGACACTAAACTTTCTGGGTGGAGGCATAAACTTCTCTCGCTAGGGGGGAGAATCATCCTTATTCATCATGTGCTCAATACTATCCCTTTATACCATATGTCTGTCTCTCCCCTCCCTAGAGGTATTATCCATAATATTGAGAGAAAACTTTCAAACTTCTTGTGGGATAGAAACTCGGATAACCATAGGCAGATTTGGAGGAGTTGGGAAAAGTGTTGCTACCCAGTCACTGAGAATGGTTTGGGTTTTAGAAATTTAGCTTATATCCAAAAAACTTTTTTCCTAAAACTGCTTTGGAAGGTTACCAATAACACTGGGGTTTGGGCTAACTGGTATAACACCCTTAAGGATGAAACTCGCTCTGTTATGCATAAAGCTCTTGATTCTGTAAGCTATGTTTTTTATATTAATTGTGTTGTTCAGATTAATAGGGGATCTAGCTCCTTCTGGTTCTCTAATTGGTGTGATCTTGGCCCTCTGTATTTGCTCTATGATGACATCCCCATCCACCTTAGCCAAATTTCGGTTAAGGATGCTATGCATGAAAACTGTCTTATCCCTGCTATTAAAAACAGTATGCCTCGTTATCTTGTTGATATTATCACTGATACTAAACTGCATTTTAATAACAGTGACGACAGGTATCTGTGGAAACCCAATTCGAATGACAAATTCAGTTTTTCTAGTGCCTATGATGTCATAAGGCCAAAAAAGAGTGCTGATAAGAGCTCTATCTTCTATTGGAATAGCATAACCCCCAAAAAGATCTCTTTTTTCCTTTGGAAAATGAAATATCTTTTGCTTACTTTTGAGGCCCAACTTCGGCAAATTGGTATCTATGGTCCTTTTAAATGCCCTCTTTGCCCAAACGTGGATACCATTGACCACTTTTTTATTTCTTGTAACTTTAGCAAAAAGGTCTGGGAGCATTTTGAAACTCTTTTCAACTACAAACCAAGATCCACGTTTTTTATTCAAAATTATATTCTTGGATGGTATAAAGGCTTTAGGGGTTTTGCTGATCTAAACTATGTCCTTCCAAATACGGTTATTTGGAACCTTTGGAAGATTCGGAATAAGGTAATACATGATAACAATCATGCCTTTCTTCCTGAGGCGATAAAGGCTATAAAAACTGATATTTTTGCCATTTCGAATTGCAAACCCTTCACCACAACTCAAAACCACAACCCGTTCAACATTTCCATTACAATGCCCAAAAAGGTTATTGTTAGCTTTGAGCATAACCACTGGAAAAAACCGCCACCTAACTACCATAAGATCAACATTGCAACTCGGATTCTCACTCCCCAACTTGTTAGGAGTGCAACCCTTATCCGCAATGCATCCGGAAACTACATGGGCCATATGACCTACATTTCTCTCAATAGAGACACCACTTTAGCTGCTTATGATGCCATCATAGAAACTATTCTCAATATCAAGAAGATAAATTTAAATAATTTTATTCTTGAGGTGGATAATAGGGATATCTATGAAGGACTAACAAGTGTGGTTGCAAGAAATCAAGAGAAGGATCAATACCTACAACTGGTCGATTACCCACATTCATCCAAAGATCAATTGCACAACAGAGTTTTTAGCTTATAATAACACTTCTACTAGTACCAAGACTACTCACCATTTTAATCGCTTTGTTGGTATCTTAAAATTTGATGCTACTAGTTATCTTTATGTATTTTCTTCTGAGTAGGCATTGGTCTGGCCCTCCTACTCTACGTACTTGCTTTCTTTTCAAATAAATTGGTCAGTTGTTCTTATATATATATATATATATATATATATATGTGTATATATATATATATATATAGATTTCATCTTTTTTCGTGTTCTATTTTGTAGGAGTATTAGAAAAGTGTCAATAGAATTTGGCACTCGAACTTGTCTCCAGCTAATTAAGTAAAAAAAACTCGCTAACTCTCTAAAAAATTCTCCAACTTATTTTTGTAATGTTAAGGGAAAATTCCCGAAATAGAACTAAAATCGATTGAAAATTCTAAAATAAAATTGTCATGTTATTATTCCCTAAATAGAAGAAGTATGTGCTGCCAAATTTGGAAAATAATGTCATGTCTGAAGTCTGGTACTGCCAAAACATGGAACTAATTAGTCCTATTTAAGTATAAAAACATAATAGTCTTATTTTATAATAGACAAACGTATTTACTTCTATTTAGGACAATTTCTCTAATTTTTGGCTTAGCAGATTTGAGCAACAGTTTAAGAAAAATGGTATTTAACAATTTGGTAATTTTTTGCTTAGCAGGGTATTTGAGCGAGAGAATTGAAGTAGCATTACCTGATTGTCATTGTACCATGGTCTATTCTTCTGCAAACTGATGAGCTTTAGGTCTTCAGCAAGCGTGTATGCAAATTTTCTAGTCTCGACCACGGGATTAACTACATCTTGATCTCCACTGCACTAACTTTCAAGATTAGCTATGTGTTTCCAAATAGGGCATTGATGGTAAATTGGTAATGGTCTAATGGATATAGGCAGAAATAGGGTTGGACGCGATCCAGAACGATCCGGTAAATTAGCAAAATTCGTAATGAACCTTTTGACGTTTTTAATGGTTCGGTACGGTCTAGTTCTAAGATTGGAATCATTCGATATCATGTCTTTTCGGAACGGTACAAGATGGTATAGCAATTCAAACTAATGCTAAAAAAAATTGGACAAGTGTTGCAATTAATAGATATAATAATTCCAGTCAATTCACATGAAATGTTAATAAAATCCACGAAAGAGAGGTTGACATTTTTGTCTTTAAACAACTAATAAAAAATATAGCAAAATGACACTACATCATACAAATATTATCTTTACTAAATTCATGTGAAAATATAAAAAATATATAATCGATCAAATTGTTGAATATAATAGAAAATGCTACATTCTTCTTCTTCTTTGTTCTTTGTTAAATATTAGTTTCAATTTATAGTTACACTGTGAGAGCTAAGATTTAGATCATATTAATTAAGTTGCAAAACTACACAAATATGATTCAACAAGTACTCAAATACACTACATTACTTGGAAATCCACAACACTTTGAAATCTCTCCAAATCAAAGTTGGCGACACCCCCTTATATTCTTTACATTCCTACTTCCTCTGTATCTATAATTTGTCATGTAGTTTATAATTCATAGCTCCAACCCTATCTATTTTTTGCAATTGTTATTTGATATTTTTAAGAGGTGCTTGAAAGTTCAAAGGGGAGTGTTGGTGCACCAGCTACGATATTGTTGTGTAAGTTCACGGGTTCAAATCATGAGACCCACATCTTATCAAAATGATCACAAGGAAAAAGGTATTCCTTATGGTGAGACTCTTCCTGGACTTTAGTCTTATGGGGACGCGAATGTGGAAACTGTCCTTTTTCATGTGCATACACTCACTTAATTGCATATCACAAATATCACATTTTCACAGAAGATGAAAATAAGTACAAATAAATAATGAAATTTTAGGGATTTTATCAATTCAAGACCTAAAATGTATCGATATAGAACCCGAATGATAGAAAACTGTCAACTTAGGACTTAACATTTAATAGATCTTAATTTATTTAATTTTTTTTATTAATTCCATTGCTAAGTTTTGATAAACTTTTCTTCACAAGTTTATTAGTTTAATAAAACTAAATAATATTTAAAATTTTAAATTAAAAATAATAATAAAATTAATGGCAACTTAGGTCCTAGATTGATGGTTTTCAATCATCTAGATCCTAAATTGATAGTTTTCCATTATTCGGGTCCTATATCGATATATTTTATCTTTCTTAACATAGACTGATGGAGAAAAGCGTGATATCTTTACTGCATTGGGATTATGTTTACTGCTGTGGTGATTGTGTAAATATATTTGTATTTATATCTTTTGTTACTCCGTATAATATAGTATTCTTTTAATACGGAGTACCATATAAAAACCTGAAGTATAAATGGCTCAAAAAATAAATTGAAATTACAAAAAAATCATTAATTTAAAAATTACTCACCTGTAAAGAAGAATTTGAATACGCCTCTTTAACAGTGATGTGAGTGTATTGAAGTTTTTCGTCTCATATGCTGGCAAAATGTTCAGAGGCCTGCAGTTTTTTTATAAATAGACTTTTTAGCACACATTCACGTCTTAGTTCTTCCAGACAAAAAGTACCATAGTACTCCCTCCGTCCCAATTTACTTAGCCAAACTTGTTTTTTCAAGTCAATGGTACCTAACTTTGACCGATTATATATCTATAAAGAAAAAATATTAATAATATAAAAATTATATGAAAATGTTCTTTGTTGAAAATACTATTATAAAAGTATAAAATTATTAATTTTTTCATAAATATATCAGTTAAAATAATTGGCCAAAGATTACCATCTTTGACCGGAAAAGTCAAGATTGGCTAACTAAATGGGACGGAGGTAGTAAGTCAGAGTTTATAAATATACCCATCACAAGAATCCCAACGATATGGTAAACAAGTCACGTTGGCATGCACGGCTTTTTGAACTTCTGGTTTATTTAAATATACCGGTGTGTAATCAGGAAGGCAAGGATCGCCCATTTTTGTTTCACTAGTCACCTTAATAGTTAAAAACAATATTTAATTAGAATGGTTGATTTGTATAAAAAAGTGTATATAATTAGTCCAATATTCAACGCGATTTTCAGTATGAGTCATCCGGAAACAATCTTTCTGTACTTTAGTACATGAGTAAGGCCACACACATTTGGCCCCCTTACCCCACCGTAGGTGGGAGTCTTTGCGGCACTGGGGTGATGATGATGATTGACAAATTTGATTGTTCAATTTCCGGCAAAAAGCAAAATAAAATTGACGCTGATGGGAAGTTTTCCACCGGAAATATTCGTCCTGGGAAGTTAACTCAAACACAAATACGAAGTACGGAGTATATAGTACGAAGTACTTCGTATGTAGTAGTATTAGTTACAAGACATTAGTTACCATACTAGTAATAGACAAAATCTGGTTATGCCTGTTTTGGACTGATCAAACAACTTTTTCATCAGATACATAACTTTTGATTTACACAGTGAATTGTTATAATAAATTAATTATCAAAATAAATAAGGTTAAAGATACTTTTCTGATTGAATTGGTTGATGTTATTGTATACCGATGACCATTTTAGCTATTTTCATATAATGTTTTCTTTATTTTATTGATAAAATAAATTTTAAATATAATTTTTTCATAATTCAATAGATTCTTCATTTTATTAATTTTTTATTTTTTTAAAAAAATATATAATATAAATAATATTTTTCTATAATTCAGGATGTTTTTACTTGGACTGGAATTTGTTGATCTTGTCTGATCTGTTCTAATTATGTCTGGTTTGGTCTGATCTGAGCTGGTTTGGTAAATGTATGGTTTAGTGTATTTTATGACTATGAAAGTCTGGTCTGATTTGGTCTATTTAAGTTTAGTCTGGGACTGAAAATAGTCCAATTAAGAACATCATGAATAGATTCGACCAAGTTTATCAATTTTAACAAATTTCGGACAATCGGACACAACAATTTGAGTGTTACTAAAGGGCTCTAAATGTGCAATTTTCTCAATTAAATTTTACCAAATATAGAACACGTGAATTTATCTTACATGTTGTCTTCTCGAATCTGAGGATTCACAGTTCGTGAAAAGCAAAGAATCCATATCGAAGTCAGGCCCCATCTCTTTGCCCAACATTTTCATAGTTTTCTCGCAATTTTTGGACAATTTTCCATGGTGCTCCTCATACAAAGCCTCTGCTACGTTGCATACATTTTTTGCCATAGTGTATGCTTCTGGAGAAATCACTCCATGGTACCATAGATAGTCACCCTGATCTATACCTGGAGTACCAATACCCAGATTTCCAAGCTGATAAAAAAAGGTTTACAGAAAATGTCAAACATACAAATGTTGACTATGAGAAACAAATTAAAAGTTGATGGCCTGGTTAACTCAGAGTGTAAGAAAAACTCACAGCAAGGCCTTTTAACTTTATTGGCTTATCACTGTTTTCATTGTATTCAAGAACTAATGCAGCAAGTTGCGGTACTAAATGCCCTATTAAAAAATTGTTCCAAAATTTAAAAGCTGTTTACTAATCACTTTCTAGATATTAAAGAGCATATTGAGTAGATATGTAGTATATGATGATGTGATAAAATATAATCACCTTCGCCACCATCCCCAGCCAAGTAAAAATCTGAGTTTCTGTATTTGGGGAATTTCTCAAACCACTTGAGAAGGAACTTCATATTTTCCTTTACTGTATAAAAGGGTGTCAATAGGTTTACAAGGATGCAAAATATCTGACAAATCGATCGAAAGAAGTTAGAAGTAAATTGGTCAATACCTGTCATGGTATAATTCCAATTGGTGTTGTCTGAGCTTGTATTAGAGTATGAAAAACCTGTCCCAATGGGGGAGTCTATGTATAACATGTTCGACTCTGCTTGTTCACAAATAAAGTTATTCAATACATCCGCTAACTCAATTCCCACAATAACAAAAAAATGTACACACACATACAGTAAAGGAATAAATAGCTCACTCGTTAAATCATTGTAATTGAGACTATTTCACAACTGGCATAAATACTTATGAGATGAGATGTATGTCTTTGTTCTGGTCACAAATGAAAGACCAACACTTCTATTTATATAATCTCTAGCTAGACCCTTCACAAAACTCCCTACCCTTCAAAATTAGCCATAAGCTCCCATAATCTTGTTGAAGAATTTAGATAACTATGCCCTGTTTTAGAATACTCCCTTGGTCCCATGATTAAGTTCAAAGTTAGACTTCTTAAATCAAACTAGGTTAACTTTGACCGAAATTATTCAATAATTATACTCGGTGTTACTATATAATACCAAAACAATTTGACTACTTCATTTTAATACGGAGTATACAGTATTGAAATGTTAGTTTATTATAGATTTTGGCATCGTTTGTTTCCTAGCGGATTGGTACCCACCCGCTGCAAAAAGCAGCATTTCCAAGTATAAAAACATTAGCGGTATGGCTAATCCGCTGCCTTTCCAAACGGAGCATTTATAAGTGTATACGAAGTATTTCTAAATATAGTATATACGTAGTATATATCAATGGTCAAACGTTTATGTTGCAGACGATGAAAGTCTAATTGTAACTTAATTGCGGGACGGAGGAAGTAATGTAGTACTACCTACGTCCCAATTTACTTAGTCATCTTTGACTTTTCCTGTCAAAGATGGTAAACTTTGACCAATTATTTTAACTAATATATTTATGCAAAATGTAATAATTTTATGCTTTTATGATAGTATTTTTAACAAAGAACATTTTCATATCATTTTCATATTATCAATATTTTTTCTATATAAACATATAATCAGTCAAAGTTAGACGTTATTGACTTGAAAAGATAAGTTTGGCTAACTGAAATGGGACAGAGGAAGTATTATATAAAGAACTCTACAACATTGCACACTTTCTAGAGAACTCAAAATGCTAGACTATTGTAGAAGCATCCACAATCACTTAATCACGTCGAAAGAATACTACTCGTATTTATTTCTTAGATTAGACACACATAATACAGAATTGATTGCAAATTTGCAATATACCCAACAAAATCGATCTCATTTCCGCAATAGTTTAGATTATGGAAAATTCCTTCTGTACACTACAGTTTTTACACGGTGTACACGCCGACCAAATTGTCTATGCATAGACAATTCGATCGTTGTTCTATGAAGAAAACTGATTTTCACACAAACAAAATAAAAAACTTGTCTGTATCACAAGAGATTTTAAAATTCTCGTTTAAAATTTTCTGTATCACAAACATTTTATGAAAAATTCTCGTCTAAAATGTTTATGATACAGACGACTTTTTATTTTTGTCTGTGTGAAAATCGGTTTTCTTCATAAAATGCCGATCAAATTGTTTGTACACAGACAATTTGACCGACATGTACACCGGAGTGTAAACCGGCGTGTACACGAAGCGGGACTCACTTTAGAAATATTGAATTATCATCAGAACTATATGCATGTGTATGTATAGAACCGTGGAAAAAAGGTAGAAATTATAATGTTACCTAAGTTCCAGGAAGAGGGGTTCATCGAAAGCTTTCCTTCTTCTCTTGTTCTAAATGGACCATTTCCACTGAATATAGAAGTACCAGCCGAAGAACAGCCATGATCTGATAATAATAGATCAGCATTCCCTCTTATGAATTCAACCATTCTAAAAAAACATCTCATTCACAAACATGAGAGCTTATATGTACCTCCACCAAACCAAACCGTAAGAGGGCGTGTGAGTGCATGTTTTGATTGTGCTTCAACAAAATAATAGAATAAGGATCTTCCATGCTCTTCATCCGTCACGATGTAACCCGAGTACTGCTTGAAGGTAACCTTCTTGGGTTGCCCAGGGAGAGAGCTTATTCTTTCTGCATTTGATATCAAAAAGAGGGAACAAAAAGTAGTAAAGAACATGAACCATAAGATGGCCATTTTTTCATAAAACTCCTTAAAGGGGTTATTTATGTATTATATATTTTTCTAGTAATATTGAAACAATGTTGTATATATTGCATGAGTACTAGGAGAATGCATGTCCCATACAAGCAACTATACAGTAAAGACATGGAACATGCATGAGTTAAACAACCACAATCAATCTAGTACACACATATTCCGTGTGACGTGGTACTTCATTTGACTTGGCATTTAAAATTAGTTAAACTAACCCACCTAATAAATTTCTCTTAACCCTTCTAAAACGGAACTCTATATATACAAATTTGCTGTTACCTAAGGGATTCTTTACTTTACTTTTAAGGCCTTAATTAAAATTTAGCACACCGGCCTATTTGTCGTCCCGCTTAGGAAGAATTAGAAACACAGCTAAAATGTTAAAACTTAAAATTGGACGAGAGTCAAAGAATGAGTTTAATGCACCAAACCCCCATGTGATTTGGAAATTCGGCGCATTAGCCCCCTGTGATTTAAAAAATGCGTCAAACCCCCTTGTGTTTTAATTAATCATGCACAGAACCCCCTTTATGAATAAATTTAACGATTTGAAAATCACTTTTCCTAATATTTTGATTGAATATGCAAATAAATATGTCAAAATCTCTGAATCATACAAAAATGTTAATCATTTTTCTTTTATTTGACAATTGAATTTGTTCACATAAGGGATTTGGCGCATGATTAATTAAAATACAGGGGGGTTTGACACAATTTTTAAATCACAGGGGGCTAATGCGCCGAATTTCCAAATCACAGGGGGGTTTGGTGCATTAAACCCGTCAAAGAATATAAAAAGGACGGCAGATTGGAGTGGATATATAAACATTGACCCTGTGAATGAAGATCTTTTCCTCGAAAGATGTAGAAAGTTCACACTTTGATTTGTATTCAATTCGTTTGTGAGGGTCTCAAGGTGCCTCTTTTGTGAGGTAAAGTAGGTCCACTAATTTTTGCAGTGCCAGCCGGCCCATACAAATTGTAGGCCCTGTTCTGAATAAAATGGGAGCCAAATATAGCAAGTACCGTATAAGAGCCTGTTTATTTAGGATTTAATGGACTTAATGAGATGGATGGCTTAATCATTCAATCATTAAGTTGTGTTTATTTAGGACTTAATGAGAAACATCACTTATTCGCTCCGTCCAAAACGGACTTATTGGTTCAGCGCAAAAACAGGACTCCTTCCGATTCAGACTATGGAACAGACCATATTTCTCCTTTTTAACCCCATTGACGTCGTTTTTCTCTCATAGGTGGCTCTCCTCATCTACTTTGAAGTTAAGACAACGGACAACCCATTTATATACACTAGAGCAACTATCTTCATCTCCTCTATCACATCATCATCATCATCATCAAAGTATAATCTCATGATTTCATATTTTTACATTTTCATTTGGTATGAGTTCAGGAATTTATCTCATGATTTGTATGACTTCCAATATAAATTTCTTTGTCTAGGCATGAATTTATTCTAGGTAATTCTGCACAATTGGGCACTATTTTTGCATCTTCGGAAAATGTTTTCTGCAAAAAACAACACTTTGTTCCTGAATATTTCGGCAGGTTATATTTGGGATTATTTTAGCATTTTCTGCATATTTAGGTGCCCATCTAATAATTTTTCGTTAATTATTCCAAATTATGTTACAAAATAAGAAAAGTGAATCGACGATTAACGTTCTTCACTTGTTCTTTACAAAAGGGTAAATTGGTTATTTGACATTATTCAGACTTCTCATTCAGCACACAAAGTAAACAGTCCATTATCACAATCAGGGGCGGAACCAGCCTAGTGCCCGGGGGTGCTCGTGCCCCTGCAGTGATTTTTTATATATATAACATATATATACATATATTAATATTTAATTAGTTGAGCCCCTGCAGACTAATCCCAAAAGCCCTTTACCTTAGCCCTTTCCCTTGTGCCAGCCCAATCCCAAAATTCCTTTCCTGGGGCAGCCCACAACACAACTCCCCGAAAGCCAAAACGCCAAGACCCCAAGTCCCAACTCAAGCGGTCTGCCCCTGCGTAACTAAGTTCAAGCTACAAAGACGGAAACTGAAAGCGAGTCAACGTTCAAGGCTTCAAGCTACTGCGTTCAAGCTACAACGTTAGCAAATCACAACAGCGAATCAGCGAGTAGGAACTAGAAGCCTTTTGGTGGTGATATCATGTATCGATACATGTTAGCCGACCTCAATATCTTTTGGGACTAAGGCTTGGATGTTGTTGTATTGTATTGTATTTGTTTAATTCAAATAAAATGTTAATTGTTGAATACTTTTATATGTTGAATTCAAATACAGTGTTGAAGTTTTTGGCAATTATGTTGTGATAACTGATAATCTCATTAAAATGTTAATTATATTGTAAATTTATAATTGTGTATTTATTGATTTAGTTAATGTTGTTAATTTGTTATAATGTAATTTATACAATTATACTCATATTATTTCAATTGTAATTGGCCTAGGTTGTTTGACAAAATATTGCTATGTTACGATATTATACACGGGAACCTAAACAGCCAAGCATTGGTGGTTCTTCATCGAATAATTTAGTTTCTTCATCAGATAATGTCATTACTAACAAGGACAATAATGTTAAAAGGCTCGAATAGAAGTTGAATTGTCCGATGATGATATTGTTGGTGATTTGTGCAACAAGATGGGAGAAGAATACTTGACAGATTGTTTGATGTGTTACATTGAAAAAGATGTATTTGTTAAAATTGAGAATGAAGTCATTCTGAAGCGATTTCAGAATATGGCCCCTCGAAGACAAAGATTGCTGCCTCTCAATGAATCTCCTTCATTTGACGCGCCAGGTTCTAATCAAAATTAAGGTACTCTTTAAGTAGTTATTTTATTTAAATTTTATAGTTTGGTTTATTGTGATATTCGTGATGCATATGATTTTTTTAGAGTAGTACGTAGTATATGATTTCTTTGTTATTGTGCCCCTGCGAGTCACGAGTCCTGGTTCCGCCACTGATCACAATGTCACTTAATCCATATAGACATCTTAATCTAGACAGACATCTTAATCCAGACAGGACTTAATGAAATAAAAAGTAAACAGCCCCTAACATTTCAATACTGTATACTCCGTATTAAAATGAATTAGTCAAATTGTGAAATTAATCAAACTAAGAACAAATCGGGACAAAAGGACATATGAGGATGGGGCTTAGAAGTTTGCTGCTTACGCTCTTGGCATGATCACACTTGCGCCTCAGTCCTGTACTCCTGTGCTTTCAGCCCTTCACCCATGCTGCTCTGCTTGAGGTGTGCGGGTTGCTAGCATGGCCGGTCTTGGGTGAGGGGCAGCAGGGGCGACCGCCCTAGGCCCGAAAAAAGTAGAAAGAAAATTAGGTCCAATTTTTTTTATATGTAATATGAGTATGCTTCTTTTTTATTTATATTTTCAATTAATTAATTAGGCCTAGTGTGTAATATTTGTTGACAATTTGAGAATTTTAAAACATAAGTGAAAAGTCTTGAACAAAGCTAGACAAGCTTTTAAAAAGAATATAAATTTAGTTTTGGTTTGTAAATAGAGTTTGTTGTAGGTCAACACATTTGTTGTTGAATCAATAAAAGCACGTCTATTCACATCTTTTTAGCCTTTAAGATTATTCATTCTTTTAATTACAAAATTACCAATTTATATTATTGTCTTTGGGCTGCCGGTGCCTCCCAATTCTCAAACATCATCCAAATTATCTATTATGCCTCAAAAACTTAATGGATTACCAATTTTAAACATTTCACATGTGATCTTGGAAAGAATTGATTATAAAGCAATTATTTATGATTTTACTTCACAATGTTCTTTTGTGATACATGCGTTGTTGCTTTTGTTCAAATATGCAATTCAAATAATATAAAGGTGAATTTCTTCTTTATTTTATAATCTTTATTAGATAGTTGTAGGGAAAATTCCTGATATAGGAGTAATTTTTTTAGAATTTCAAAATAGGACTATCATGTGTTTATTTTCTGAATAGGAGTAATTAGTGTCATGTTCGGAAAATACTATCATGTGTAAAATATGATACTACCAAAATATGACATTAATTACTTCTATTTAGAGAATAAAAACATGATAATCTTAGTTTTCATCATCAAAACAAGCATCTATTCATATCAAAAGATTCATGATCATTACATCAAGCAACGGGAAAAAAAACTGACACCAACTGAAACTCCAACAACTACGACTGTAACCCTATGGTGAGACTTTGAGACAGTCACCCCTGAAAGAGCAACATGAATCGCTAACCATGCAGTGAGTTTGACACAGCCAAACTTGTTCTCATAGATCCAACCATACCGAATGATATAAAGAGAGGCTAAAACACAAACAAATTGTCAAAACCAACAAAAACAAAGATGAACACAAGAAAACAAATGACAAACAAATAAAAATTACTAGGAAAACTTTCACGGACTCTACCACCTCGTACAACTCATGGTGGTAGTTCAGGCGGAGGTCGGACCGTCACTCGATTGATACCCTCTTTCAGTGGCGTACCCGCCGTATGACCAATATCCATGCCATCGAATGGAGCGTTCAGCCTCTCCACGCTAACCATGTCCCGATCATCCCTATGTCTCTCTCTCTCTTCTTCCACCATCTTCTCTACAACTCATGTGGTAGAGAAGCATGGGTCCCCCTGCCCATTGTTAACATTCAGAGCTCCTGATTCAAACATCAAGCCACTATTTTCTTCCTCCTCAATCGATATCTTGCCATATTATTCCGCTTTTTTCTCCATGATAATAAAAGAAAGACCAACAAAAATGAAATTTCACAAAAACAACACAAGAACACGCTGCTCCAGCCTCCCGGTCGGATGTTTACAACCGAAAGCAAATGAAAACTCTCGGCCAAGGGCTAAGCTAAGGCTCAGCCGGAATACACCAAATCGGATAAACCGATCACAAGTGGGAACACTCGACAACAACAAAACCTTACCTTCGACGCTTTACAATTACTACTTTTCTATTGAGGGAAAGTTCCCGAAATAGGACTAAAACAGTTTGAAAATTCCAAAATAGGACTGTCATGTTTTTTATTCCCAAAATAGGAGTAATTACTGCCATGTTTAGAAAATACTGCCATGTTTGAAGATCATACAAAATTAAAGAGCGAAAAAATCATTTTTTCTAAATATCCATTTTTAGTTGACTTTTCTTTTATTATTCATATGCAATATTGGTACCAAATTAAAGATCATACAAAATAAAAATATTTTGATATATCTTTAACAAAATTAACATTAAAATGAAAAAGTTAAAACCATTGTAAAATACTTCGTAACTCAGAATTATCTTGTCACATGGGAGGCAAGTAAGGTAAGGTGATGTTCACCCTCCTATGAGAGGTGAACATAATTGATTTTCAAATTATGAATCAGTCAATGGTTGTCTAATTGAAATTAAAAGACTAGAGAATGTCTCAAGTCTCGTAGCTAGGGTCAACCCTGGCCTCGCTCTACACTGAATTACTTACAATTTTGATTACTCCTTATGTTATTCCCTAAAAATATTTTCAACTTTCTTTTTCGGTCCGTCCCAAAATAAATTTTCATTTTCCCATTTTGGTAGAGAAATTGTGGCTCACGACAATTCTTGCGCATTTCTATCTCCTCTACACAACTCTCCTCTACACAACTCTTCACCGCACAATACTCATCAGAATCTTAATCCTCATGCAATTTGTATTATGGAACAAAATTTAGGGACGGAGGGAGTAGGATAAAAAAAAGGAAAAAGAGGAAAATAAGCCCTCGAACTAACCAAAAAAGTTCAAATCACTCCTTATATTGGAGGCTCTATCCGGCCGTCGCCATTTGGGGCGGTTCCCTGTGGAATTTTTTGATGGATTTTTTTGAGCATCTTTTTCATTAAGTCTAGTTTACCCATACCAAATTTCAGCTAAAACTAAAACCAGGAAAGTAGTCAAATGATTTTCTGAAATATACTGCGGTGTTTATCTTCAAAAATTCATTTGACTGCCTTCCCAATTGAATTTTTATCTGAAATTTGGTATGAGTAAACTAGACTTAAGAAGAAGATGTTCAAAAACTTTCATCAAAAAATTACACCGGGAACCTCACCAAATGACGATGGCCGGACAGAGCCTCTTATATATGAGGTTATTTGCACTTTTTTATTAGTTAGAGGGCTTAGTTGCCCCTTTTCCTTAAAAAAAACATACTACCTCCGTCCCTTTTTAGTTTACCAACTTTGACTTTTTCAGTCAAAAATGATAAACTTGAATCCATTATTTTAACTAATATATTTATGTAAAAGTTAATAAATTTATACTTTTATGATAATATTTCCAACAAAGAACATTTTCATATAATTTTCTTATTATCAATATTACCGTGTATAAATATATAATCGGTCAAAGTTGAACAATTTGACTTGAAAATTTGTGTTTGGCAAACGTACACTCGATCTACACTTTTTGCATGAAAGAGAGGATTCTCATACTCCGTATAAATATGCATTTGATGATGTGTAATTTCAATGGAACGAGATGCCCTTACTATCAACGAGTTTTTGATGACGTGTAATTTGATTGTACTCTGTACTTTTTACATGGTAGATTCTATGGTACTCCAAATGTACCGTACCTTTGTCCAAATGGACCAATAAAAATGATGCAGTTGAATTATTTAAATCTAAATTAAAAAAACATATAATGATTTGGACCAATCAAATGCATAGTAGGAACGATACCTCATTTTTTAAATGGGTACCGGAGTTGTCACCTTTTTACATAGTTTCCTACATGGAATTCTTGCTTCCGCCACTTATCGTGCATGCAAAATGCCGGTGCCTGGGTTTGTGGACAAGTCCATCTATTAGTTGACTTTAATGATGCATTGTGGCATTGAGGTATATGTCACTCCTTCAAGTCTCGACTTTTAAGAATAAATTTAAGGTAAATTCTATGATATGATAATTTTGTTCACATGGAACAATCAATATATTGTAATATTATAAGAGGTAATTTGAGTTTGCACCTCATTTTATTGTCCAAATTTGACTTTGTACCCCGTTTTTATAAACTTTTGTATTTGCACCCCAAACCCTCGTGAAAAGACAGAAATAATCCCCTCCATTAAAAATTTTGTTGGCCTTCAAAATATTCCTTATCTAAGGGCATTTTTGTCTTTTCACAAGGGGTTGGGGTGCAAATACAAAGGTTTTTAAAAATGGGGTGCAAAGTCTAATCAAGACAATAAAATGAGATGCAAACTCAAATTACCTCATATTATAATTGAATAATTAAAATGAAAATTGAAAGTGATATAATGCATTGGATTAATCAAATGAATGATAACACCTAAATTGTAGCCCATTTTTTAATTAGTATATAGTTCTCACCTAAATTTAAACTCTAAATATGATAGCACCCATTTAAATAGATATTCCATAATTTCCATTCGACTAAGATTCAGAAATAGAACATAAATTTTACTAGCAAGTCATTTGTTCCGACCACGAAAAGGTCTACTGCACCTATTGTCCTATTCTATCTTCCATAACTCTCAAAAGATCATCAGACTTTAGCAGAGCTTCTCATTGCCCTGCCTCTGGTCCAGTAATTCCCCACGAACAAAAGCAGAGACATCCCAGCCGGGTACCAAGAAGCCACCTTATGAAACTTCCTGTCACGGAGAATCAGCCTCAGCGCGATCTCAATCCCGCTCAACCCCAGCGCAAAAAACCAAGCCCCGGTTTCAAACACTACCTCCGACGACGGCCGCCCATTTTTCAGCCTCGCGTTTCTGACGCATAAGAAGATCCAGCAGCAAAATCCGATGAAATTGAGCGCTATTTGGATGAGGAGAAACATGGCGCTATGAGATCGAACGGCCTCATTGGAAACCCAGGGGCAGATCCCGCAGACAAGTATGACGGCTTGGAAATCGATGAATTTCTTGATGAAGAGGATGGAGGCAATTGCGGGGATGGTGACGCTGCTCACGTAAGCTATGATGATCACGGCAAGGGGATCTTCTGGGTAATCGAGCATTTCTGCGAGGCAATTGCCATTGTTAATTAGATGGAGCTTAAAGATTTGAAGCTGCGTACTCTTAATAAATGAAACGATGAAATGAAAGAATACAGAGTAATAAAGAATGGGATCGGAAGAAATGCAATTTTGTTCTGAAAATATATACGGAATATAAGGAGATCATTCCAAGTGCTAGTTTTGGTTGGATTTTGATTCAAGTTTTGAAATGTGGAACCAAAATGAACTCGGTTTGAATTTGTTAATAAAACTATTGAATTCTAAGCATGTTTTCATAGCAAGTAGGTATGTTTTCATAGCATGTTTTCATATGTTCGAGTTTCTATCCCAATTAAGAAGGTTGACATTAAAGGGGGTGTATTCAATTTGGATTGTTGTGGACTTTTTTTAATCTATTGACTTTTAAAAAAGTCAATGAACTTTTAAATCCATAGACTTTTTTATGAATGAATTCTATGGACTTTTAAATCCATGGATAAGTTTATTGACTTTCAAAAAGTCCATAGACTTTTAAATGCAGACCGCCACTGCTGGTCGTCAAAATTTTCACCTAGATTGTCCCTACCGATATGCCTGTGACCTGCCCGCATCCATCACCGGAGTTCCCCGCTGTCGTCATCGGATTGACGCGTCACCAACAAAATGGCTTTGGTTCTGAAAGGGAACTAGGGACAATTAATTATATTAATTAATTAATTAAATTAGGGGTGAATATGTAATATTTATTCCCATTTAAGAAAAACCAAACATTTAATCATACTTTAAGAATAATGCTATGTTTTAGTCCTACCGTGAGTGATTTCCTCTATATAATACGGAGTACGATAAGAAATAAATAAGTGAGTAAATAAATAAATAAATAAATAAATATATAAATAAATAAATAAATAAATAAATAAATGAAAAAATGTAATTCAAATAGCAAGACAAAGTTCTACAAAAATAAATGAAGCATAATAATTCAAATTTATTTTTATTAAAAAAAACTCAAAGTTTCAAAAATGCTCGAGAATTTTGGCCATTTTATTAATAATTAAGAACATTAATCGTTACACAAGCGTTACACGCATTGCTACATGTGGTACAAGCATAAATGCAATCGAGCTTTTCTACTTGGTGATTGTTTTCTTTTAACTTCTATCTTGTAAAAACTTGTATATGTATTTATGGTTATATATTTATTAATTTGAAATTATATTTTTATGTGTTAAGCGATTTAACGATGAAAGAAAGTGATAGTTAAAATATTTATTTTCTTAATGGTTAACTGATGACTTATCAGAATTGCATTGATGTAATACTATCGATTCTTATATCGGTTCTTCTATAAACTTCTAGAATCGAATCAATATAGGATTACTGAATTGAGGGGGGTGGACTGGCGACGGCAAGCTAAAGAAGAAGAAGAATGGAAGGAGAGGGGTGGGTGAGCTGGGTTGAAGAAGAAAAAGAAGAAACATTGAAGAGGAAGGTGTGGCTTGGCTAAAGAAGAGTAGAGTTCGGGGAGGCGGGGAGTAGGCTTGGCCCGAGGCTGGTCTGACAGCCCGGCCGGTTCGGACCCGGTCCGGGCCTTATTTGTTTTTTTTTGGGGGGGGGGGGGGGGGGGTTGGGCCTATGGTAGGTAGGCTGGGTGTTTTGGAGGGGTTTGGAGGGTGAGGGTTGGAATATACTCCCTCCGTTTCTAAAAGAACCTCACACTTTCCTTTTTTGGATGTGCCAAAATAAAAGTCACACTTCCCTTATTTCCTTATTTGGCAAAGAAATCTACATCCAAACAGTGCCAAACAGTGTCCAAACAGTGTCTAAACAGTGTTTTCTACAGTAAAGTCAATTTATTTCCTTAATAATCGTGAAGTCAAACCGTGACTTTCTTTTAGAAACGGAGGGAGTATAAGAAAACCAAAAAAATGAACAAGCCCGGTCCAACCCGGAACTGGCCCGGCCCGATACCGGTAGACTCCCGGGCTGGTCCCGGGCCTTACCCGAAAAATTCCAAGCCCGGCCGGGCCCGACTCGGAACAGAAACTGGGTCTGGCCCGGTCCATCCCTAGGAGGGAGGGGAGGAATGGGGTGGGACGGGATGAAGAACCGATATAAGAAAAGTCCACGGAAATCTTTGGTGAGGAGAAGAGACAATTGTAGAGAATTTTTGCACTAAAAATGAGTTAAAAGTCCACGAGAATCCATGATTTTAGAAGTCAATAAGAATGAACGGAAATTTGAATACGCCTAGACTTTTATAGACTTTTAAAAGTCCGAATTGAATACACCTAGACTTTTGTGGACTTTTAAAAGTCCACATTGAATACACCTAAACTTTTAAAATCCATGGACTTTTAAAATTTTGCCACTAAATCCTAATACAATACACCCCCTAAATAGAGTAGATAATATAATACGTAGTATGTTTAGAGGAATATGCACACACAAAATCTAGTCTCAGACTAGATTTATGGTTATATAAGACTAAACTAAACTTAATAGATTCGACTAAACTTAAACGAATCGAGCAATATTTAATTTGAAATAAAGTGATATATTGTGTAGGATCCTATTAAATTAACCCAATGTGCATGCAAATGCCATTTTACTTTAGAAAATATCAATATTTTATAATTTTTGTTCATTCATATTCGAATATATTAATGCCCATCAAAGTATAAGAAAGGATGGAGGATACATGCAATACTCGCGCTAACTCAAAATATTCTTCTCATTAGAGGCTTATTAGAAATTTGAAAACGCATGTTTTTTAATTTAATTGATTTCATTTCCAGATCAGACGGGATCAAACTAGACCAAAATTAAACATGTGAGAATAGACTTAATCAAACTTAAACAAATCATAACTGAACATTCTAGATTTCAACAGTTGTAAAATACATATTGAGTAAACATCTAGCAGATCAGACCAGACTAAATCAGACTTAAATAGACCAAACTTGATCAAATAAGGCCAACAATTCAGAGTTGAATACTTGAATTAAAAAAAAAAACGCCACAATGTCAACTACGCAAAGACAACAAATGAGAAGAAAATTTGAGGACATAAGTTCAAATGGAAGCAAAATCTTAGTACACGCTTACTTGGTTACGTTGGGTAAATGCATATTTTGGCTCTATAAGTTAAAATGAATAAATTGCTTTCAAAAAATAATGTTAAATAAATTTACAAAATAGTCTAGTTTATTTTGTTTTGGGAAATTAGACCGTTTTTCAAACACCAATATTTCAAAGTTTAATTTATTTTGATATAATATAATGTTTTTTTAGAATTCAAATCAAAGATCAATAAACGTCACATGTCAGTTTTATGAGATCTAAAAATTGCTAAATGCTCATGTTTAAGAATTAAAATAAAAAACGTGCATGATTATGATCTTAAAAATCGAAGTTAGTTTAAAATACACGGAGTACGTAATAAAACATCGACATCGATTATCCAAATCGCATGTTTAAAATCTTGATGGTGTTAAGACTAAAATGCAAAAAAATAAAAGAAAGAAAAAATCTAGATTATGGTAACACAATGCAGTTTTCTATACCTTTCGGCCAATCCACCTTTGTGATCCAAAAATCCCTCCAAGTTTTCTCTTAAGAGATGAATTAATAATAGATGCAAGGGGAGCCTAGAGGTAAAAAAAATTATGTGATTTTTGCGCATTTCGTATGCAACTAACAAATGCGGGTTGACTTAACTTCATAAAGATAATACTTCGTATATACGTAATAGAATTGAATACGTACCAGCTGCAATTGCCTCTGGCGAAGGAGAAGCTTCTTGGAGCTCTTTCCGGGCCACCGCCTGTGCGGTGGCTAAGAACAGCACAAAGAAATAAAGGGTCAAAAGGATTTCACTACTTTTAAACGTCATTGCTGCGCGCCTTAAGATAATTCTCTGCTTTTAAAAGCCAGCTAATGATATTCTATGGTAAAGCAAGCTTTTATAATGTCTACCAGAATTATTTTTCCCGAAAAGCGAGAACTCTGAAAAGGGGCCAAGGGGGTTTAGAGAGGATTTAATTTCTAGTTAAAAGTGTTTTTCTTTTCTTTAGAATTAAAGTTTGATTACGCGTTGAATTGTACGGTGAATGGTTCGATTGTTTTTATACATGAAAATGGATGGTGGGGTTTCTAGTCTAGAGATTGATAAAAGCTAGATTGACACTAACGGGTAACAAACTCTTGAATTACTCCCTACCAATAATTAATAAATATTCTTCAATAAATGTTATGGAGTATATTTTAATCAAACACTCTTTTGTCATTAAAAAAAACACTCTTCTGTCATTCAATTAGGTTCCCTACTTTATAAATTTTGACTGTTAACTTAATATAATTCATTGCAATATATATTATTTATTAAATGCATGTTAATTTATACTACGTATTAAATTTTGTTAAGTATATATTTTTTAAATAATTATGGTCACATTTCCACATGAACAGGGGCGGAGATAGAGGGGTCAATGAGGCCCTAGTCTACACTAAATTTAAAATTTCTTTGTATTTTTATTGTAAAAATATATGTGTAAAAGTTTATTTGGAAAACTTTTATACCGGCTCATGTGAAGTTTCGATCCTGACTACGCCGTGCACATAAAGATCATACGATAAATGTCAAACTCAAAACTTAATTGGGATTTGGGGATGCATATATACAAATTATCTAAACAGAATATTTACTTTTTGTTGAAGAACATAAATCTCACTGTACCGCACTTACCAACAATAGAATGGTCGGAGTTTCCAAAAAAAACAATAGAATGGTCGGTTGTCATTGACGTGAATTATGGTAACTAGTAAGTAGTCACCATGCACATTGACCACATGTATATATCCTAAATTCAAAGTTCGTTTTTCTATGATGGGTATGGATTGTTTATACAACCTAGAAAATATCCATCAATTAGTTATACTCAGTATATGCACAAAAGTACTACAGAGTATATCATCTCTCATTGTAGTTGTTATACAATCTTTTTTCGATGAAGCAATTCTAAACAAGTATTTCATATATCCTTGTTACAAATTAAAGCATGTGTTGATGTTTCTTACTCCGTATTTTTTATATTGTTGATATTAGGTTAGAGAAAAGTCTGCAATTCAAAAAATGTTTAAAATAAATGTATTTTATGTTTAACTATAAGTTTGATAATACCATTTGGGATTAACGTCACCGATTCTGCTCCTTTAGTGAGCACAAGCAGATATTAGGGAGGTTGTGAAAATGCAAATATACTTTTCAAGTTCAAAAATGTTCCTACAAACAGTTTTTTAGAAGTTGAGGAGGTCAATTTTTGAAAGTTGATTATATTTCTACTTCCATTTTTAAAAAACAAAAACAAATAGAATCAACTTCAAACACCGGATGTTTTCTTAGCTGGGATTGCACTAATCATATAATGAGTTAATGATCAAATAAAAATTGCCATTGCAAAATGCAACCCTAACTAATTACCGTTCGGGGTCTAATTACATGTTAAATATTTAGTATAATTAGATTATATTGTAGTGCCTTTTATTTTCATTATTACAAAAGTGGAAAGATGTTATGCATATTATGACAATTGGAGATCAGTAAATTGCCATATATATAATATGGCATATAGAATTAACATATTGACTGACTCTTGTTCATGTGATCATTAGGTTTGCTAGCATGGTCCCATCATATAACAAGAGTGTCACATTCAAAAGTTAACCATTATTCCATGTTGATTAGCTTAATACCAAGTATTCATCCGTTTCAAAATAAATGCGACAATAATACAATTTGCTATTGACATAGATTAAAATGTACATATAAGTTGACTGTACACTTTTTTAGAAAGGAGAAAAACACTTAAATTAAAAATATAGAATTAGACAACCATACCTTTTTCGTCTACACTCATCCTCCATTCAGATTGAATATAGCAAAAATGTTTCATCACTCTCTCTTTAGACATATAATTAAACAATCATACATCATGTTTGTCCTCTACGCTCACCCTCCATCTAGACTGAATATAACCAAAATGTCTCGTCACTACAGACTTGGAATAGACTATTCAAAAATGACCAAGATTAGTCATTGAAATGTGAGAGATTCAAAATAATATCAACTAGCTTAGCCTGATTACTTCCTATAGCAATCCTAAACGCATACTAAAATATCCCAGAATACCCAGCCCAACCCGGGTTTTAAAAAAAATTGAAAAAAACAAAAAAACAATATGGCCCGAACCGGGCCGGGCCGGTTCCTTATTTACATGACCCGAGCCCGCACCAGAAAACCCCCCGGGCCGAGCCATCGGGTCGGGCTGAACCCAACAGTACCTGGCCGGTTCCGGGTCGGGCCACCAGACCGGAGTCCACCACTAACCATCATTTTTAAACATGGCGGTCAAAAGTGTCATGAGTTCTTCTGCTTGGCTATAAATAAGAGTCAAAGTCAATTTTATCACATATTGGACTTTTACTAAAAAGGTTGGGGTGTTTTTACTTTGACTTTTTCAAATCAGATCAGGCCAAATTATATTAGACCTGACCAGATCAGTCTTGGTTAGTTGTGAAATATATACACAGAGACCGGACATTTACCTGACCAGTTCAGACCAGATCAGATCATACTAGAAATTTCAGTCCAAATAAAAATGCTTAGTCTTCTCATGATCAACTTTATCTTGAAGTATCGAGAATTACAAATCTTAAAATATTGTAGCCTGTTGCAAGCTGATTGTCATATTTATTTCTTCTTACTCCAAAACACAACTTGAATAAGCAGTTTTGAGTACTACTTTATTTTCCTTAATTATAACCTCTTACGTAGTATTATATCTTACTTTTATACTTTTTTGATACATTTTACTAATGTTATATTATATATGTATATATATCTTTTTATTATGCATCACTAATTGTGTTAACAAATCATATTATATGGTTATTACTTATTTTATGTCCCGTGCATCGCACGGGTGAGAATCTAGTCAACTTCAAACATCGGATGTTTTCTTAGCTGGGATTGCACTAATAATATAATGAGTTAATGACCAAATAAAAATTGCCATTGCAAAATGCAACCCTAACTAATTACCATTCGGGGTCTAATTACATGTTAAATATTTAGTATAATTAGATTGTAGTGCCTTTTATTTTCATTATTACAAAAGTGGAAAGATGTTATGCATATTATGACAATTGGAGATCAGTAAATTGCCATATATATATATATATATATATATATATATATATATATATATATATATATATATATATAGAGGAATGTTCATGTCAGGCCGGCCTGACGGGCTGCCCCGTCCGGCCGAGCCCGTTTGGGCACCTTCCCGGTGGAATTTTTTGATGAAATTTTTTGAGCATGTTCCTCATCAAGTCTAGTTTGTCCATACCAAATTTCAGCTCAAAATGCGATCGGGAAGGCATTCAAATCATTTTTTGAAGTTGACTGCAGTTTTATATGTATATTTTGACGCAGTCAACTTCAAAAAATGATTTCAATGCCTTCCCGATCGAATTTTGAGCTGAAATTTGGTATGGACAAACTAGACTTGATGGGGAACATGCTCAAAAAATTTCATCAAAAAATTCCACCGGGAAGGTGCCCAAATGGGCTCGGCCGGACGGAGCATCCCGTCAGGCCGGCCTGATGAGAAGAGCACTCTATATATATATATATATATATATATATATATATATATAATATGGCATATAGAATTAACATATTGGCTGACTCTTGTTCATGTGATCATTAGGTTTGCTAGCATGGTCCCATCATATAGGCCTTGTTTGGTAAATGGATGTTAGTTGTTGCTGTTAGCTGGTTGTGTCAGCTGTTTCCTAATAGCTGGTTGTGTTAGCTGTTTTGACCCGCTGGTTATGTTAGCTGATTATAAATAACTGTTTGGTAAAATTGGTTGTTTCGAAATGGCTGATAGAGTGTAAATTGAACCAGCCAAATGAAGAAGCTGCCCCCCTTAGCTTCTTCAACCATCCATTTTTTCAGCTTTTCAAACTCAACAAGCTAATTTTAAAATCCATTTACCAAACATTATTATTAGCTTATTTGACTAATCAAACAGCTAAAATGGGTCAAACAAGCTAAAAGCTGGCTGATAAGCCATTTGCCAAACATACCCATAACAAGAGTGTCACGCACATTCAAAAGTTAACCATTATTCCATGTTGATTAGCTTAATACCAAGTATTCACCCGTTTCAAAATAAATGCGACAATAATACACTTTTTTAGAAAGGAGAAAAACACTTATATTAAAAATATAGAATTAGACAACCATACCTTTGTCGTCTACACTCATCCTCCATCATTCAGATTGAATATAGCAAAAATGTTTCATCACTCTCTGTTTAAACAATCACACATCATGTTTGTCGTCTACGCTCACCCTCCATCTAGACTGAATATAACCAAAATGTCTCATCACTCTTTGATCAGACTTGGAATAGACTATTCAAAAATGACCAAGATTAATCGCTGAAATGTGAGAGTTTCAAAATAATATCAACTAGCTTAGCCTGATTACTTCCTCTAGCAATCCTAAACGCATACTAAAATATCACATGTCGATTTCACTCAATGCATATTTTAGTTTCACCTAATATACATTCAAATTCACATAATATAATCTATCAGTCTACATTCATTCTCATTTTCACCTGAGATCATTTTCTCGAACCGAACTCTGACTTCATAAATACTTCGTATTAAATGTGTGACTGCTTAAATTTAGTTTATGCAAATCAAGAGCAACCAAAAGTCAACTTTAAAGGATTTGAAACAAAAACAAAAAATTACGTTATACTCCCTCCGTTCCTGAAAATTCTTCTCACCTACGATTTTGGGACCTCCCAATTTTTTCTCATTTTCTTTTTGGAAAGGTTAATGTGACGACTATATATTTGTTACTCGACAAAACAATTTTCACAATCATACGTTTCCACTTTATTCTCATTCTCTAAAACTTCGATCCAGTTTTTTTCCCTAAAACTTCTATCCAAGTCAAATGGGGAAGTGGGAGAGTAATTTAATTGGAGGGACTAAACGTTTGAAAGCGGTGTTTATTTGCGCGGCTACACTGCGGTACAATGCTAAACAGTTGTTATCGTTAACATGTCAATCCCCACAGACTCACCGTCTCAAGAAAGCGGAGAAGAACCAGAATCTCTGCCATCAACTCACCACCCTCCTGCCCCTCCCCATGAGGTTTTTCTTAAGCTTGATGTGCTCCTTGTACATTCTAGAATTTCTCAAATTAGGGTTCTTGTTTTTTCCTGTCCACTTTCCAACACCCAAGCTACCCCTTTAATATTTATTATCCATATGATAGAATTCAGTGAGGAATTCCATGACATAGCAATTCAATTTGTTCCTTAGCCTTGCCTGAAATGCATTTTAGCTTTATCTCATAGTTAATGCAATAGTCTTGTTAAGCTCTTTTTTCTTTTATAATTTATGTTTTCTGTTATCATATATTCTTATGGCATTGTATTTTTTTACTTATTGGAGGTCAATTTCATAGTAAACCAACTCCTTGGTTAAAACCATGTTTTTGAAGAAAAAAACGTATCTTTACAGTAAGTAGTAAGACTCAGATTGCACAGGAATGTTCAAATTCTTGTACGCCAAAATCATTTTTGCACCAGTGATGTAATTGTATGAGCAAAAAGGTAAGATTTAAACTTTGGCACTCCATTTTGGTCTTCAGTTTTCCCTCCATCTCAATTGAAGCATCTGGTTTTCTTCAGAATAAAGAAACCATCATTCTTAAACTCCAGAAATACCTAAGCTTTTCTTAAAATTATTAAAATTTGAACAAGTTGTCAATTCAAAGCTAGAATTAACAAAAGCAATGACACAGTTCAACCAAAGCATACTGCCTTTATGGTGTTTTCTTTCGTCGGCATGGGAGGACAAGCTTGCTGTTGAAGGATTTTATATTGAGCATATGCGTATATCACTTCTTAATATTTTGTTACTTGTGCGTTTTCTGGTCATACTGTAATGAGTTTCATGCTGCAGCTGTTTGATCTATCAACAACCGTTGATCCTGCATATGTGATATCTTTGATACGAAAACTCCTACCAGCAGAAGTGAAAGTTGGAGGGGCCTCTGGGGAACAAAAAACTGAAGAGCTGACGACAACTTCAGTCTCTTCTTTTGAAGATGGAGAAGGGATGCAGACAAATAATGGAAATAAATCCCTGGATGTTGTTAATGATTTTAATAAAGCAGAAAAAGTAAATGGATTTGATGGTGCTCTATGCTGTGAAAGTACAAAGAAGGGGTCAACAGCAGGGGAAGACGCCTGGGAAGAATATGGTTGTATTCTATGGGATCTTGCCGCAAGTAAAACTCATGCTGAATTCATGGTTCTTGAATTCTCTCTCCTTTTGCTCACGTTCTTCATCTTATCAGATATCACTATTCTTTTTTGTTTTGATGGAAAATGCGGGATAGACCTGGCTTTTTAGGATGATGGATAAAGACTCAAGTTTGCAGTTCAATTCAGTGTGACCTTCATTTTGTTGTTTACTCCTGTGAGGCAGTGATACTTGTTATTTTTAGGCTAATGGAAAGTGCCAAGGATCAATGTGTAATAAAGCGCTCAGCCTGCCAGGCACCCGCTAAGAGGCACATAGGGACTAGTGCCAAGTTGTGGACGATTATGGGTGAGGCAAGACCTGTGGAATTGGGGCGTTTAGCTAGGGCTTAGGCAAGAACAAATCCCATTCGCCCAAGAACAGCATTGCGCATTAGCGCCTAGGCTAGAGTTAATTAAGGCTAGGTGGAGATTTTTACAACAAAGCCGAATATGTTTTTTTATGATTTCTAGTTTGTGTCACTATTAGACCCCGTCCCCAGGAGTGCAGCAATTTATTAGTCATCACTGCAGCAGTTCTTAAGTACTGTGATAACAGATACACTTTTTTTAAATACAGGCTCAAAACCTCATACTTGAAGTTCTCTTGTCCACTCTCGTGGTTTCAAAATCTGCGCGAGTTACAGTGAGTGGCATTCCTAATTTAGTTCATGTGCATCTTATACACATGATCTTGATGTACCTACATGCATTTTTTATGTTTTCCTTTCTTAACATGAATATCAAAAGGAAATTAGCTTGGGAATCATTGGGAACCTAGCATGCCATGAGCTTTCTCAAAAGAAGGTAACTTCCACAAATGGATTGATCAGGGCAATCTTGGAGCAGCTGTTTCTGGATGACACACCATGTCTTTGTGAAGCATGCCGGTACTATACCTGAATTTCAAAGATGCAGATCTTGGCTTGTTAGTTTAGTGCTTCTGAAGTTTAATGTTTTACCATGTTTAAACAAATAGTTTAGCAACAGTCCCTCATTTAGTTATTTATTTACGTTCTGGTTGGATCACCTTGCTAAGATATTTTTCACTTTTCCATGCTTTTTACTTCTTGTTTGTACTACCTCAATTCTGAATTAACTGTCTCACTGGGGTACGAGGATTGATTGAGGATAAAGCTACTTTTCCCTAATAAATAAATTAGCTTTATGAAGAGTTCTATTGAGTTGCAAAATCTGAATCTCAATATGCCCCATATGGTACATGAAATTAGAAATTAAGAGTTCTGGATCAAGTGACTTTTTAGAAAGTTTTAATCCCAGCTCATTATATGATTTATTTATATGCAGTCAACATTATCACAGTAATATTTTGCAGGGTAGTGACTTTATGCCTTCAAGGTGATGAGAGTGATCTTTGGGCAGAAGCCTTGCAATCTGAGCATATATTATGTCGAATTTTATGGATTGTGGAAAATACATTAAATCCACAGCTTATTGATAAGGTATCAGGTGATCTCCAAACTTGTCTTTCTCTATGTTACAATTTGCAGTTTTTCCAGAATTTTAGGATACAGCATTTTATGGTTGCATATTGTTATTATGGATATATTTTGGACAGTTTTGTTCAAGTCTAGGTATATGTGTATTATCCATTTCAAACTAACCATGGAGGAGGTTGACTTCACTGAAATATGAAACTACGTTCAACACTTCAACTTCAGCTATTGAAATTATTCTCTATTCTTACTCAATTATTATACTCTCTTCATTGTCCATCAATTTTTCCTCTTCCCTTTGCAGTATGTCCCTTAATAATTGTCTTCCTTTCTTTTAAGGAAGGTATATCTGGTATTTATTCTTTCATTCTAAATTAATCTCGAGTTCTCAACAAATCTGTTTCATTTTCTTATACTTGGAGCAAAGTCAAAGTAGAAAGATATAATAGGGATTAGGGATAGAGGGACTGTTGCAATACATGTATGAAGAGAAGTATCCATCTAATAGATTTGTCTTTTTAAATCCTTTACTCCAAAATAAACTAAAATGTTAGCCTGCATAGTGTAAAAACATTTGTATCAAATAGCTTTACCTGAAAAATATGATTTTGAGAATTTCAACTGAGCCCCCCCCCCCCCCCCCCAAAAAAAGTTGTAATAGTAATACTAATGAAATAAAAGCACTTCTAAGTTTTATTTTACCATCATGGTAGTCCTTTTGCTCCTTCTAGAGAATTTGTTGTTGACCATATGGTGATGTTCAGCATCTCTAATAGACTACTACTCATGATTGTTGGGAGGAATTATTATGGCTAACACGGAAATTTCATTGTTGACTGCCACCTGATTGATGTTCTTGAGCTAGGTTATCAAACCGAGATTCAAGCCATGAATCGCAAGAGCTATTATTAAAATCATGAATTGTATCATATTATGAATCATAAGATACAAAAGTAACAAAACCAAATAAAAAATATCTAATACATGTAAATATATTTATAAATTGCTATCGTATGTTTTAGTATGAGTATTCTTTCTTAGTAGACTAGTGCCTAAGTGGAGCTAGGCAACAATCGCCACAAATATCTCACCACTACTAGAAGTATTTTTCTAATGATACACAAGGAGGCCTCGACAGTTGGGCAGACTTCATCACAAATATGCTACCAAAATTCACATAACCGAGCGAGCCAGAGCGGCTCTTTGTTTTACTTTTTTCTAAGTTTCATTCTCTAAATTTTAGAAAGAAAGAGAAGAGGTACAAACTACAAAGAACTGTTGTAGAGGGGGGGGACTGGAAAAGACAGAAAAAAAAGTACTTAAGATGTGAAGTTTTGGCATGTGCAGCGACAATGCTCTCTCTACAACTCTGCACTCTTGTAGCTTTGTTGGTGTGGTGTAATTGTAGTTCAGTTTCTATTTCTATTTAACTTAAACTGGACAAGTCAACAGTTCTAGAAGGACTTTTCTGATAAGGATCACGGCACCCACCTTATTTCAGGCTAAACATGCGAATAATTGAATGACACGATTCATTTCTGTATAGCAGTTTGTGCGATTTTGTTAATGCACATCTCGTTTCCTTCTTGTGATCAGTATCTATAGGCCAATTTTGTTTTGCGTGTCATGATACACATTTCGATTCATACTTGTATTCCACGTATCATACGATATTAACTACCATGGTTTGGAGATTTAGGGATGGCTCTTTGGTGTCTGAAGGGTTTTGGTCTGATTGCCTGACTGGTTATTTTGTTGTCTTTTATGAGCTTTTGCTCCCATTAAAATATTAAATGGATTTCGAGATGGGGTTCTTTATCTGTTTCTAGGCTCACTTGCAGGTAAATGGATTTGGATAAGGGGTCTTTATATCATGTACAGTACTGCAGTGTATCTTTTTTGCTTATTTTATTTATTCCTGACTGTACACAGTAGGTTTGTCCCAGATCTTGTACTCTTCAGAGAGCTTTGGATTTGTATGATTGGCTATGCCCCCTCCAAAAAGCATAACTCTAAATAATATTTCTTTTTATAACCATATAATTCTGCCAAAATATCAAAAGAAATAAAGAATAGAATAAATTGTGGAATAAACTGTTTACTAACTCAGAAAATCGTACATTATCATGCACATATAGGGGTTTTTACAAGCCAGCATGTCTTATCAGCGTGATGTAATTTTCCACTATTAAACAGAGTGTGAGCCTGCTCCTTGCAATGTTGCAAAATAAGCAAGAAGCAGCTTGTGTTTTTCAACCACTATTAATGAAGATGGGTCTCCCCTGTATTTTGGTTGATCTTTTATCCTTTGAGATGTGCAAATTATGGGAAGAGCGGTTACCTGAAAGGTAAAGGTTGTTTCGCATCACATTTTTTTGGTGCGTCTTATTTGCAATAAAATTAACTTATTTAGATAACCAGTGATGTACTGATGTGTCATGATGTGCATGGTGATGTTACAATATAATTTTTTGCATTGAGAGATCGAGACATGAGTACATGACTCTAACAACTCTCTGAAAACACGTTTCTTAAGTTCTTAAATCTCAGGATATTTCTGTGCAACTGAAAAACATATTACAAGAATGGTTTTGGGAAGTCATCTAGTTGTTCCTTTAGATGGTTGCAACAAATAAAAACATAGCCTCTTTTTGCATTAATTTAGTATTAACTAATTTTAGACAAATAATTGACACCAAATATCTTGCATTCTTGCCACCTATCCCTACAAAGCTGGTATTAAGGCAACGATGAATTGTTTTCCAATGAGCTCACCAGCCTACTAGGCATATTACGTCTCTTCATTCAATGACCCTTGTAGTCTGATTTTCTTGTTACCAAGCTATACTTTGTATGTATATTGGGGCTATTTTAAACAATACAATGCATTCGTTCCCCGTTATTCTTCCGCCATAGTTCTTGCGTGGAATCCAGTGTTCCATTCCACTTTGCACACATTTTCTCACTTGGAAACTTACATTTTTTCACTTGGAGACATTCTTTAGGAGTTAATTCATTGTCCTTCCACTTGGGTGAAATGGTCACTTTTGGTTCTCAAAATTAATGCGTTCACTTTTGCTTTGTCTACTTTTAATGATGTACCATTTTAGTCTCACTGTACAAAGGCATATAGAGAAGATTAAAATTTATGAAGTGATGGTATTTTGATTGGGAATTGGTACAATCTTGAAGGTGAAGGGATTAAAGGTGGTCAAATTGATAGTAGAAGACCAAAGGTGGTGATGCCACCATATTGGGGGGTTAAAGTGGGATTAACTCCATTCTTTGGTCCTTATTATTGACTCAGGAAACTTTGTACTGCACCAGGTACTCTGTTCTTGGTTTGATTCTTCAGGCCATTGAGGCTCTTTCTGTCATCGATGAATGTTCTCAAGAAATCTGTGCAAGTAAACGACTTTTTATACTTCTCACCGACTTAATCAAACTTCCTGAAAAAGTTGAGGTATTTGTTTATAAATTTTGCTTAGTGACTCGAGTTTATGGCATGTAAGCTTGCCACAAATTGATTAAAGAAATGAAATCAGAAAAGAAAAAATGAAAATGTAAAAAATAAATGAAGCTGACTCATTATTGTATATTCGGCTCAAAAGTTTGCTAGTGGTCCTATAATTTCTCATATTGTGGAAATTTTTTACAGCAACAAAATTGAGCATCATTTGCACCATTTGCAATGGAACCAAAGATTCACTATTTTTTGGCTTAAAAATATGATGGAATAAAGCAAAATGGCTCACTAAACTGTCTGTGCTTCTTTCTTATGAAGCAGCAGTCAGTCCATGCAATTTTGGACGCGATTTTCACTATGGGTCATCCGGAAACAGTCTCTTTGTGCTTTAGTAAAGGGGTAAGACTGCGTACATCCGACCCCCCCTTACCCCACCGTAGGTGGGAGCCTTTGCGGCACTGGGGTAAATAAAAATGAAATGAAAATGAAAATGAACAAAAGTGAGCATCACATTTATGTGCTAGTATTGAATATTTTACACACTACCAGACTACCTTTCACTTCTTGCCATGATCTCAACGGAAACAATCTTCCTGCTTCTCGGGGTAGGTGTATGGTCTGTGTACATCTCACCCTACCCGGACCTTGCTTTGAGCATAATATTTTTGTTTGTTTAGTTTTTTTAATGCTTGATCTGTGGTGGTTAATATTTCCAATCAAAATCTTAAAATTGATTCAAGTTTTGCTTTGGTTTAGCAATATTTGGTTGTTCAAAATGCAGATGTGCGTTTACTTATTTAAAGGCCATGATATGTTAATAGGCACATGATATATGCAAGCCGTGAGGCACTTAAAAGCTCAGATGATTAGGTTTTAATGATACATATCTACTGCAGGTTGCTGATTGTTGTATTACTGCTGCTGTTTTGATAGCAAATATTCTGACAGAGGCTGCCGATCTAGCTTTAGAAGCATCACAAGGTAAGTTGATTTGCTGCAAACAAAAAGTTTTTTCGTTTTCATTTTCATCATCATTTTTATGTATTTATACCTTAAAAGCTAGCTTTAAGTTTATTTATCAAGTAGTGAGGAATAACACGAAGATCTTCCAGACCTTTTGCTATTACAGGGTCTATTTAGTCTATTCCCTTATGCTTCAGTGGATGTAGAAGCAAGAAGTGCTCTTTGGAGCATCATTGCAAGATTCTTGGTTCAAGTTCAAGAAAATGATGTGAGCCTTTTGCAACTTCATCAATATGTCTCTGTTTTCACAAGTGAAGCAGAAGTTATTGAGGAAGAACTTCTTAATGACCACTCCACTGAAGAACTTCTCAATGACCACTCCACTGAAGAACCTGTGAGCTCTGGTACCACTTCAAAGTTAGTTGCCAGAAATGCAGCTGTATCCTTAACCATGAATATTTTCACCAAGTGTTGAAAGTCAAGGGCCCATTAAGTATTCAAGTTTCATGTGTTCAATTTTTTCCCTATCTTTTTTTTTAAATTTCTAAAGTATGAAAAAGGTTTGGTAACTATGTTTTGTGCATTTGATTTATATTACGTAGTGTGGATATGGCTTTTAAAAATTGTATAGCTTATATAAACAGTGTTCAAATCTCAAACACGTTTTCTTAAACAATGAAACAAATGCACTGCTGTAAACCACTTTGTCTTCTTTCTGTTTTCTGAAAAGTGAACACAAACAGCAAACAAAAGCGTTACCAGAATGATAAGGTTATTGATAAAGTTGTTTATCAAGCACATATCTAGAATGAACTATCATTACTTTTGTTTGCTCTCTTTAACTGCGAAGTAGCTCAATGGAATTGTATGGGCTTTAAATCAATGGATTGGTTTAGAGGATAGAATCAAGGAGTCTCTCCCTATGGAGAAATCCAAAGTAAACCAAGAAGATGTTTACAAGTTGTTGCACTGCTGTGGAAAATATATCAAGTAAGAGATGTCTCCGTTTGGGTGCATATCATTATTGCCCTTGCTATGAATGATGTCATGAAGTAAAATTCATCCTTGCCTAGTTGCTTTATCCTATGCCAAAGTCTTCTTTCAAAGATGGAAATGATGAAGGAGACTATGCATCATTCTCTTATCAGCAATATAAGCTGAGTTCTTAAGTAGTTTTTAATTTATTTGGCTGCAGGGGATGTTAGCAAACGATTTTCTATTCCGAAAGTCCTAGCAGATTCAGCCGTTTTGGCCAAATAAGTTTTCTTGATACTGTATTATATGCTTTTCTTGATACTGTATTATCTTCAAAGTTCATAATTTCGTGTATGGTTATAGAAGGTGCACTTCCAGATTAGTTTCACGCAATAGTGTTTGAATACTATGCTGATGTTGCATGCTGCTCCGCGAATTGTTCATTTGAAGGAATTAAGAATGCTCAATCATGTAATGGTGTTAATCTTGAACATTGTAATTTTTAGAGTTTTTATTTGACTTTTGTGTTAAACTTTTGGTATTTGACTTTTAATTTTTCCATTTTTAGTCTTAGACTATTGTGTGAAAGACATGTTTTGTCCTTGACTTCAAAGTTTCCCACGTTAAGTCCCCTGAGTATTTATCAAATTGATATTTTTAGTCCAACCACTATGATTTTGACGCAATAAGGGAAAGACAAAAATGTCGCTATTATGATACTCCGTAATTGAAGAACAGAAAATGTCAATTTTATGAATGACGAAGCACTAGATATGAAAATCTCCAAAGACGGGTACCAAAAGTGTCTTTCGCATAGTAGTTGAAGGACTAAAAGTGAAAAAAATAAAGTAGAATACTAAAAGTGTCAATGACATAATAATTGGAGGATGAAAAGTAGCAAAAACTATACATTTGATAATCTCAACTTTCGAACCTAGGGTGTTTGCATCTTGTGGGTGAGTTGAAGCTATGTATGGACATTGAATCTTATTGGATTTGATTTGGTTTCTTACATCCCTATTGGCAATCCTCTCACCTTAGCTATACAATATGAAATAATATGATTAATTGTTGAATTTGTTTAGCGTATTGTATGATTGTATTATGCCTATAACTATTAACCAAGCACATAAAACTAAAAATGCACACAATTGTAGTAGTATCAGCTCATTATTTTGCATGCTCTTGTGGTTTGCCCTAGGGGTGGACCGGGCCCCGGGATGGGATTGGGTGGGGCTGGGGTTTTGGGTTGCAGGCCCGGTACTGGCCCGGGTTCGAAACGGTACTGGGCCGGGGCCGGGTTCGTACCGGGATTGGGCCGGGCCCGACTTGGATCGGCCAATTTTTTTTATATATAAAAATGGCTTTTCGAATTTATTCCTACCACCCCCACCCCAAACCACTCAGCTCCATCCACCTAGCTGCAGCCCAATGCCAATAAATCGTGGGGCCGGTCCACGATTTAAGGAGCCTGAAGCCCGCCCATTTCTTACCCGATTCGGGCCCCCAGTCTCGGTACCGCCCGGCTGGGTCGGGCCTGCACAATATCGGGCCAGACCGGGTCAGGCTGACCCGTCCCAGTCCATCCTAGTTTGACCCCTCAGTGGAATTTTACGCACTTTGACCAAACTCTTACATAGGGGTGCATCTCGTATGGCTCTGAGTCTTTTGAAGTCGGACCAGAAAACAATAATGTTTGCCTAAAGCACCAAAATTATCTGGAAAGAATCGTTTTCTTTTCAGAAACTTTCCGAACTGTTGTTTTTTTTATTAAAAGATGTTTCCTGTTTCCCCATGTTTCCGTGCAACATTGATGGTGGTCCAGTTTTGCGTCTGGTAGAACCACGGTTCCAGATTAGTTTCGGTTCACTTCTTGCTTAGTTTTAAAGCCTTAAAAACAATGGCAGAGCCCACCAAGTTGTTCCTACCTTGGAGGATTTGCTTTTGATTGATTTTCAGTAACGATTCCAGATCAGAACCATAAACTGATCGAATCTCGGGTCCAAACAATTGCTGGGTTGGTTTGGTTCTGCTCCATAATCAAGACAACGTCCAAACCTCAGTGAAAGTGTGAAGCAGTAGAGAGGGCCTGCTTTTATAAACACTATGTTACCTGTGTGAGTAAATTATTGGTCTCAATTCTTTGTTGGTTCCTTGTGATGGATTTGAATTGGATTTCACCTCTCCACTTCCGATTGTTTTGAATTGGATTTCACCTCGCCAGTTTCAATTGGAATTTGAGATTCACAGCAGAACCCCCCGGTTCCAGTCTTCCAGATGGTTTTGATTTTTGAATTGTATTTCACCTCCTTCACTTAAGAATTCGAGGGCGATGGATGCCATTGCCGTTACTTTGTTGCCATGGTTGTGTTCAAAAAGAGCCAAAGATTCCGATTTTGGACCTAGACCCCCTGGTCTCAAACACTTTACACCGGGGGAGGCTAAAACTTTATCCGAGAAAACCCATTCTGGTTTCAAATATCTAGCCTTTTTTTTCAAAAAAAAAAACAACTAGAACTGGACAGTATGTTGGGATCCTATTTTTGCATAACCAGAACCAGTCTGGATAGCTTCTGGATACCAGTTACTGTCCCGAAATAAAAATGAGATAACTGGTCCAGTTCTTTACACACCCGGTTCCATTCAGGTTTCAGAAACTGGTTTGTGGACCTGTGGTTCCACCCTATTCAGCACCAGATGGTGAGAATTGTGAGGTACCATTAGTATTGGTTAAATTAAAATCGTAATTTCAGAATGCCTAAGCATTAAGACCGGTCCTCTGGTAGAAGAGTGAAATCATGAGAGTTAATTGCAGAAGCAACACTAATTACACATTGATCCTTAAATGATCAGTTTTAAATGTGGCATATTCAATCAGAACTATACTCTAAAAGAGGCAGATAGAAAAGTTTGAATGCCTCCACAACTTCTAGATACCACATTGCCTCTCGATCCGGCACTGGTGAAAGGTCAACAATTTTGTGTACCTGAAAAAAATACTCTCAGTACCTAATTAAGCTAAGCTAATAGTATGCCACAAATACATATCATACAATCATGTAGTTGAAAATGTAGTAACTAGTAAGGCTTTCCAAATGTTCAACTCTTCATGATAGAATACGAGTATAGTAAAAGAGTTAAACCTCTTTCCACCATATATTGACATCTTAGTATATGCACCATATATTGTTTTCCTTTCCACACACTATGCCATGTATACTGTGTGTTACTAAGATGTATGAGAATGTAGCAGACACTTGGCCTGAGATCATCGCTGAGAAATCTCTTCTCTAACCTATTTTCTGGAATTCATATCACAATGCATTGAATGCAATGTAGGCTATGGCCTAAGGTTTGGAATTTCAGATTAACTATGACCTGTTTGGATTGAGGGTTTTAGAGGGGCTTGGAATGCAATGAGGGTTTCAGAGGGGTTTGGAATGCAATGAGGGTTTCAGATTAGCTGACAGGAAGGCTGTAGAGGGTTTAGTCTCATCCTGAAGAAGCGAGTGCTTCTGACAACTAAAAGGTGATAGCAATGTTGAATGATCGAAATAAGGTGAACTATATATCAAGATAAGTAACTAATAGAGAACCAATAACCTTTCCATCTAATAAATGATGGAACTATAACTAAACTATATCAGGTTCCATTTTCAATTCTGCTGCAAACAAGTTTTGCAAGCCACGCAACCACCAGCCTCTCTGGTTGAAAGACTGAAACAACAAATTCCACATTTCTACCCAAGCCCCAAAAAGTTATTTTTTATAAATACCATTGCTAGTAATTAAGCTGAAAATTCAAATTAGAATCAACCGTTAAACAAATAAAATCTCTAAACAAGCTAGTTTCCTAATTGCTAACCTTGATAAACTGAGTTCCATCTCTCCGAACAGAATATCCTCCAACAACCATTACATACATACCTACAGGAAAACACAAGTATATACTGATTGAGAAACCAATAATTTTATTTTCTATACTCAAAAAACAAAAAGGTGCGTATACCTAATTCCCAGGCATCATATCGGAGGAAATCGTTGGAGAGGACAAGTTGGATAACACCAGTGCCATCGTCGAGGAGGAAGTGACCGGCGTCATTGTCAGAAGACGCCGGTGTTGAGACCAAAACCCCCTACGGTGCGATTAGGAAACTTATACATACAATAGATACCGGGCACACAGAGAGATTGAAAGAGAAAGAAACCTGAATCCAGGCGCGCTGGAAGAGAATACCGCCGAGAGAAAAGGCGAGCTGAGAGTGAGAAGTTGTCGTCTCTGTGGCGGTGTTGAGGTGTGAGCATAGAAGCTTCAGCGCGGCCAGGGTGTAATCCATCGCTCTTTTCCCTTTCCCTCCTAGGGGTGGCAACGGGGCGGTTAGGGGACGGTTTTACATATAACCGTACCCGTCCCATTTGATAATTCCCCGCCCCATAACCGCACCATTACCCAACGGGTAATTTTTACCCAAACCGTATCCGCCCCAACGGGTAACGGGTATAACCGCGGGTAACCGCGGGTAATCGCTTTATTAACTGAGTCATTGATATTTTAATATAAAAATAATATTTTAAAAGGCAAAAAAATGGCATCACCTAGATAACTCTAGAATGAGACGCCCCTTTAAAGTTTTGTATATCTACAAGACGAGAAAGAAGACAACATAAATTAATTTGAACCTAAAAAACTTAATCTGAAAAAATAATTATTCACTAAAAATCTGATAATAATAAAAAAGACTATTAAGATCTATATGAACTCTCATGGAAACATTATAGTTAGTACATCTATTATCTATATACTCAATGAAAATAGAAAAATCTCATCTTCTATTACTCATGAGACAAATAATAGATAAAAATGTAATAAAAATATAACTAAAATAAACAGGGCGGGTACGGGGCGGGTAATGGGGAGGGCATGTATAAAACCGTAACCGCCCCGTTACCCGTAAAAACAAAACGGGTATTCCCCGCACCATACCCGTTACCCGGTCAATGCGGTTTTCCCCATTTTGACCGGGGCGGTTCGGTGCGGGTATCCATTGGATCGGTCACAATTGCCATCTCTATTCCCTCCTAGCACATTCAATTCAAATCACACCCAGGTGTAAAGACTTTCATTTTCCATTGTTACCCACCCGCTTTCCATCCTTACTCCCAATATTTGAACAAAAATGTTGTAGGTACCTCATTTTGGATACCCTATTTTTACCCCCTTATTGTTTGGTCCTAATGAGGCAATACATTTAAATGTGGCATCATTTGAACCTTACAAAGTGTGAGGTAAAAATGAAATACCCCAAAAAATGTACATATAGCACAACTCATATTTGAATTCAATGTGAGGTTACCCCCAAACTCTCAAAGGTGCACTTGGACAAATTCAATGTAAATGAGAGTTTGTAGCATTAAACTACGGAGTATAATTTGGAGGGTTCAATCTTCTTAGAGTCATTAGACCATTTAAAAGGAGGGAATGATAGAGAATT